AAAAAAAAAAAAAAAAAAAAAAAAAAAAAAAAAAAAAAGACCACACCTCATTCAAAGAGATTCTGATTTATTTGGTCTGATGTAGGAGTTCAGACATCAGTTTTTCATTAAAAATTCTCCAGGTAAGTACAATGTGCAGGTATGGTCAATAACCACTGGTCCAAGAAGATACTAACATAAAAAGATTGATGATAGAACTAATGGTAGACAGACAGAAAGCTACATGAGAATTGGGGAGGGAGGGATGAGGTCAGATGTGCAATAAATTTCAATAAGGTAGGATACCAGGTGGCATAGCCTAATGGTAATTGATGTTCTCAACAAAGACCATTTACAAGTGAGAAAAACGTTTATACATACACACATACATGTTTAACCATTTTGTGGATGGATTACAAACAAATTTTGACTTCATTTCTTATATTTTGAACTAACTGGAAATAAATGAAAGTCAGTAAAAAAAAAAGGTGCCTGGCACCTAAGTTCAGGGATTTCCCCATATCCCACCATGATAAAGTTTGATTTGAATAAATTCTACTGAATTTTAAAATTGAGAATACTGCTAATATAAAATTATAAACACTATTTTTAAGGAAAAAAAATTGACTGGAAAGTTTATTGCCAAATCTATGTCAAGCTTCGCAATTTAAATTTATTTAAAACAAAGTTAAAAACATCTATGTAAGGTCAGAACATTATTTTAGATAAAACTAATTGTTAAAAAAATTTTAGTATCATGGTTCTGAAAATAACAATTATGGCAAGTTATACATTTTTTAAATATAGAAAACATTAAATACAAAGTATCTAAGAAAATATGTCTTGCTGTTACTTTGAGGGAAAAGGTAGGGACAAATATTTTTTATTTACATATATTTATTAAAAGTTTCCACATGACATAGCAAGTAGTCCCACTTCTCTTGTGTTTTGCTATATAACACAAATTCACACAAAGGAGATGGGAAACATAAAATTACAAAGATGGTGGAAAAGTAAGCCACCCCACACCCAAATACACACTGAATTGTTGCAAAGGACATAACCTGAACATATATGGCAAATTAGTTTTAGAAAAAGAGCACTGCCCTCCCCCAGGTACACACACACACACACACACACACACACACACACACTCCACTTTATTAAACCACAAGAGGAAACTAATTGGTCTTTCACTTTCCTATGTTAGTTTTTTGAGTTCTTTTTCAATCATAATGAAATCTATTAGGAACAGGATTTTCTTCAAATTTGTACAATTCAAATATGATTTTTGTATCTGACATTCTACTTTGCACTTCTGTTCTTTTATTAATACATGTATACACCTAAATTCCTTAAAATTACAACTTTGAAAATTAATTGTAAAAAGTGGTTTTCAATTTACATGCCATAGTTCAGTGTTTACATATTATTCTGGAAGAGTGGTAAATTACAACATACAGGTTTAGAAGCAAAAAACTGATATTATTTAATGTATATTGGAATTTTAACAATGTTTTACTATTTTAACCCCATATACTTCTACACTCTGAAATTTTAGATTAATATACTGATTTTATTTACTGAAAAGTCCCAAATTTCTGTTCTATTGTTTTACAAAACTCTATAGATTTTAGTTGATTTTGAAAGAATCTGTATTATGTGAAGAGTTCATGTGACAGCCAAAATAATATAATATTGTATATAAATGTCTTTCCCATCATAGTTCTTCTAATTGGCAATAACAAATTATATATGATAATCATTATTTTATCAAGAGTTCTGATATTATAAGACTAGTCCTGAATATATTCCCTTCAATGACAGAGAGCAAATCTGTGAATAATTAATTTTACATTCTGAAGAAAAAAGTTAAGCATGACAGCAAAATATCAAAGTTGATAAGTCTTTGTGATTACAAAACGATATAGGTTATAAATACAGGCATGAAAACTAAAAAAACTTTAAAAACAAGTACTGTAAGAATATTTACACACATATTTCATGGCTCATTAAGAAATAGATTATTAAAGCATAATGTGAACAATACATTATATTAATTCACAGTATAAACACACTTTGAGGACTTAAGTCAGGAATAATAAAAATATGAAGATAACATCAGTTAAGCACTATTAATACATATTTTGTTCTGTCATATATATAAAAATATACACATAAAGTTCTTTTAAACCAAACTTTTTCACATAAATATTCACTGATTTAAATAAAAATTGACAGAGGTAGAATTTGTATCAATGTTCATGATTTTCAGGAACAAGTACTTCAAATATTTCACTACTGTTCTGTTCTTTTAAAAATCCATATAGGAACTCATTGAAAGCCATTATTCTGAAAAGTGGGGGAAGGGAAAGGTGAATTAAGATAAACAAGATAAAATTACTCAATACATTCATAAAAAACTGAAATTCAATAATGTTTTCACTGAAATTATAGTCTCTAATAAAACCTTGTCTTCAGTTCAATTTAAGAAGTACTGTTTTACTTCCTCAGGTTAAAAAGTGCTGTTCTGTGCTTTAAAAAATGTTTTTGGTTGTCTTATTTATACTTTTTTGCACTTTATGTTTTCTCAATGAGTACATGTGATATTGTGATATAATAAGAAATATGTGTTTAGTTTCTGCCCCTGGTTTCTAGCACACAGCTCCTTGGAATTTCTGGAGTGATAACAGTGTCTATGCTAATGAAATGACTGATGGCTGGCCACCCCTAAATAGCTTCAGGATGAGGGCTGGTCACCAGAAAGACCTAGGCATGATTAGAGGGTTAGGATTTTCAGCCTTGTCCCTTAACCAGGGAGAGGAAGGGGCTGCAAGTTGAGTTGATCACCAATGATGAATGATTTAATCAATTACGCCTACATTATGAAGCCTCCATAAAAACCCAAAAGGACTGGGTTCAGGGAGGTTCCAGATAGCTGAACACTTGGAGGTGCCCAGAGAGTGGTACACCCAGAGAGGGCAAGGAAGCTCCACTCCCCTTTCTCCATACCTTGCCCTATGCATCTCTTCCATCTGGATGTTCATCTGTATCCTTTGTAACATCCTTCATAATAAATGGGTAAACGCAAGTAAAATATTTCCCTGAGTTCTGTGATCTGCTCTAGCAAATTAATCGAACCTGAGGAGGGGGTTGTGGGAACCTCAATTTATAGCAGGTCAGAAGCACAGGTCACACACAACCTGGGGCTTGCAATTGGCATCTGAAGGGGGAGCAGGGTTGGGGATGGGGGAGGGGTCTTGTAGGATTGAGTCCTTAACCTACGGCGTCTGACACTATCTCTAGGTAGACAGTGTCAGAACTGAATTAAATTACAGGACACCCAGTTGGTGTCTGCTGGAGAATTTGGTGTCAGAAGTGTTGTGTTGAGTAATATGTGAGAGTAGGAGAAACATTTGTTTTCTTCTATCTTAAACAGCATGCATTAGATACCATAGTCAAAAAAATAACCAAAATTGGATTATATACTTTAACTATTAGAGAGACACTAATCTGAGAAACTATTTCATAGCTGAGCAATTAACTTCTGAGTGCTTATGGGGAAATACCTTAAAACTTTTTCAGTGACAATATTTAGAAAATGTGAATGGAAATGGATTACTAATTAACAATCTCATTTAGGATACCTTTAAAATTAATTGTAAATTATTACAAAATTACAATTGTGAATTTGATAATGGTTGGAAGTGTTTTCTAATCCACATGTACTATGATTGTTATAATTCTAAAAGTGGAAAATTACAAGTGTTGGAAAGGATGTGGAGAACCAAAACCCTCATACATTGCTGGTGGGAATGTAAAACGGTGAAGCCATGTGTAAAACAGTCTGGCAGTTCCTCAGAAAGTTACATAGAATTACCATATGACTCAGCAATTCTACTCCTAGATATATACCAAAAGATTTGAAAGCAGGGACTAAACCAGATATTTTTACACCAACATTCATATTAGCATTATTCACAATAGCCACAAGATGGAGGAAACAACCCAGGTGTTCTCAACTGATGAAAAGATTTATAAAAAGTGGTTTATCCTACAACATGGATGAACCTTGAAAACTGTATTCTAAGCAAAATAAGCCAAAAGCAAAAGGACAAATATTGTCTAGTTTCACTTATATGAAAATCTAAAATAGACAAACTCACAGAGACAGAAAAGTAGACTAGAAGTTACCAGAAAATGGGAAGGTGAGGTCAGGGGAGTGGAGAGTTACAGTTTAACAGGCACAGAGTTTCTGTTTGGGGTGATAAAAAAGGTTTTAGAATAGACAGCGGTGCTGGTTGCACAATACTGTGAATGTAATTAATGCCACTGGGTTGTACACTTAAAAAATAGTTAATATGGAAAAGTTCGTATTATATACTTTATCGCAATTAGAAAAAAGATTTCTAATTCATCACAGCTTTAGGGATTGCTGGAATCCACTGTGTTCTTTCTCAGTGGTTCTTAACGTGTGGTGTAGGGATCCGTGGGAGTCCTCAAAACCCTTTTGGGGAGTCTACAAGTCAAGCCTACTTTCATAAAACCAGGGAATTATTTGCCTTTTCACTTTTTTTCTCATGGGTGTACACACTTGAGTTTTCCAGAGGCTACATAATGTGAAGGGCCAGGGAGTAAATCTTTTAGATTTTCAGGCCACAGGGTCTGTCACAACACTCAACTCTGCCTCTGTAGAAAATCAGTCTTAGACAATATGTAAAAAATGAGTGTGGCTATGCTCCAATAAAGCTTAATTTATAAAAACAGGCAGAGAGATTGGCCTGCAGATCCTAATTTGCCAACACCTGAACTAAACTGCAGCTGTGAATCAAACACAAGAAAATGTTTGTGTCACACTGTTGTACAGCTTTACAACAAGTCAGTGAACCACCACCTAATCACGTTCAAAACAATGCAGCAACTTAGAAGCTGTGAGGACAAAGTGACTGCAGTAAGCACTGAGAGGTGGTCCTCAAAGTGAAAGAGGAAAATAAATGTTTTAAACAGCACAAAAGCAAAAGCACAACAATCAGAAATCATTTAAATCTAGGCCCTACAGACACGGGGCACCGGTGCCTTAAAGCACAGTATATAGCTAATGTTTATAATGAAGATTCTGAGTCATGGAGGAAACAACTAACTATCTTGTATGTACGTCTATTAAAAGAGGCAAAAAGATGCATCAGTTTAAACAAGACTGACTTTATTTCTGTCAATGAGTCTGCATTTTTCACAGTTATGAGCTGTCAAACCCTGGGTCTGACTCATGCTTCTTTCCCATTCACTCCCATCTCCAATGAGTCAGCATATCCCTTTGACCCTTCCTCAGTCAAATGTGTCCTCTTTTTTTTTTTTTTTTTAAAGATGACCGGTAAGGAGATCTTAACCCTTAGCTTGGTGCTGTCAGCACCACGCTCAGCCAGTGAGTGAATCGGCCATCCCTATATAGGATCCGAACCCACGGCCTTGTTATCAGCACTGCATTCTCCCAAGTGAGCCACGGGCCGGCCCAAATGTGTCCTAACTCTTTACAGCTATTTTGGAAAACAGGTTTGATGTACCTACTAAAGCTTGAACATATGCATATCCAGTGATCCAGCAACTTCACTCCTAAGTGTATACCCATAGCACTATTTGTAATAGCCCAAACTGGAAACTACCAAATGCCAATCAACAGTAGAATGAGTAAATAGATTGTGGTAAATCTACATAATGGTATTTCATTATGCAGCCAAAAGACTGAACAATCTACAAGTACACACGACAGTATGGATGAATCTCACAAATGTACTGTTGAGGAAGAGAAGCCAGAAACATATGATTTCATTTATAAAATGTCAACAAACAGGCAGAAAGAATCTACGCTTTTTACAGCCAGGACAGTTACAAGGCTTATGACTAGAAGGGAGCCCAAGAGAGGTAATGTTTTGTTTCTTGATCTGGGTGCATGTTATACAGGTGTGTTCAGTTTGAAAATTCATTGAGCTGTACCTATAATGTGGCACTTTTCTGTAAGTATACTATAATTTACTTTTAAAAATCTGTCCTACCTTTAAATATTACACTGATTCTGAACTGATTATACTGTTTATTTCATACCCTCTTATTGGTCTCTCTACTCTAGTTTCCACCCCTTCCAGTATGCCTCGAATACAGTTGTAAAGTTAATCAACCAGAAATAGTTCTTCATCTTGACCCCTCCCTTGTACCTATACTATTCACAGGAGGACTGATGTTCAATGGCTTCCCTTGATTTACAGCATGAAGTCTACAATCTTCAATTCAGACTAACATTCAATATACTCCATATAATCCACTCTATCTTTCAAACTTTTCTCCCTTATTCCCCCACAACCTTCTACATGCATGTCCACACTTTTACCACTAATTATTTGTACCTTGAATTTGGCTCTTCATCAAATACCTACCTGTGATATCTCATATTGTCATTTAATGTTTTGTTGTAGATATCCTCTTTTCTAATTCAGGTATAATCTACATACACTAAAATGTATGACCTGTAAATGTTCAGTTTAATGAGTTTTTACAACTGTAAAAATATCCATGTAACCACCACCACCAAGATACAGAATATTTTCATTACTCCTGGAATTTCCCCTGAACACCTTTCCAGGCAATCTCCCCTCCCCCTACATAGAAAACTACTTCCCAAGTTTTTACAAGCATAGATTAGTTTTCCCATCCTTGGTGTTACATACATACCTTTCTGATAATTATATATTTATATGTTCAGGAGAACTTGAAGGAGACTTCAGAGTAGAGCTAAGGGGTGGTGTAGGAAGACCATGTCGACGCATCTCTTGGATTGCTCTTTCTCTGTCAGTAAAGACCAAACAAGAGAGACTGTATGTAAGTACCATGAAAAACCAAATAGTGGTATACACATATAAGGTGCTATTATTGTTATTAGTTAAGTAATTTCTACTAAGTTAATTAATTAGTATTTCTCTTAAAATTAAATCTTATGTCTTTATATGATTTCTACATAGTGGATAAAAGATTTCAATGAAAAGAATATGCATCATAAAAGATTGTTCAAAGCAGTTATGGTATAGCCATGTTAGAATAGTAGGCAACCATTAAAATAATATTTTAGAAACAAAATGCTCACAAAATATTTAATGAAAAAAGGAGGATACTAAGTGTACAAACAAATACAAGGGTACTTCAAAAGGTTCATGGAAAAATGGAATTAGAAGATAATACTAATCCTTCCATGAACTTTTTGAAGAACCCTCACACATGACTAGATGTTAAACTCAAAAATGCTACTAGTGACTATGGAAAGGTAGAACTTACAGTTTTCCTCCTTATAATTTAAAATTTTTAAAAATTGCAATAAACCAGTTTAATGTGGTCTAAAAACTTAATTCCTATATGTTAGCAGGCAAATTCCCTACCTTACTTGACCCTTCTGTGGGGTCTCGTGCTGTTAACCACTCTTGGCTACCATGACACTACCATCTCCCTGTTCTCTTTCTACCTATATGACCATTTCTTAGTTCTTTTATCGGATCCTTTACTTCCGCCTCTACTTTCAACACTGGTGTTCCCCAGGGCTGGGTTTATATTCTCTCCTATGCTTTTATATGCCAACGACTCTCCCAAGTCTACATCTTCAGTTCTGTCCTGTGCTCCCAGACATCCCACTGGTACCTGACATACCCTAATTTGACCTTACCATATTCTAACTTGACCTTGCCTTACTGTTTCCAGACAAGGGTAGGTTCCATCCTCCATCCAGTGTGCCCATAAAATCCTACACCCATCTCTACCCCTGCAGTTACATACTGTTTTTAAATGTCTACATATTTACCCCTCTTCCTTATTATATTGTGTCCCCTGAGAGTCAGTTATTCATTTATTCAACTGGTATTCTTAACACAAGACATAGTGCCTAGCCTATAATGAAAATGATATTTGGGCTATTGTGCAGAGACACATCCTATAATAACAGGCTCTTTATTTTTATACTGGGCTGAATATAGAAAGATTGGAATACTAAAATGTATTCAGTTTACTCTTCGATGTTCTAGCCCATTAGACCACCCTTACATGGCAACCTTCCTCTTGTATTTAGGTATTAACACTCACCTTCTTCCCATTAACCAAAGACAGTCATTTAACTTTAATGTAATGGGTGACCATGTATTGTTTGCACTTCACTAACTTCTCACTTAAGCCCCAGGACCACACTTGCCCCTCTGAGCACAGAGCTTGGTTCCCTCCTCTGTACCTTCCTTCCCATCTCTTCTTGCACATCCATCTAGACCTGCTCCTTCTTCCTGCCTAAAAACTCAAGTGTCAGAAATGAAGGAGCACATTTCCTCTGTCATGCTTTCTTTCTCCATGCATGAATCTGCCCCCACCAAGCATGATGATTACGTTGCTATGTTCTTTGTGGGCTAATCAGAGCCTCTGGCCTAGCCTTTTTCTGCCTTGAGTTCTTCAATATATAGGATTTCTACCTAGTTTGGTGTTTCTCAAACTTTTGTCATTATTACTCTCCCCAAGGAACTTTTTTAGACTATTTTTACCCCAGATTATCCACCAACCCCATGAAATTTTAATACATAGATACACTTTATTTACTGTGATGTATTGGAGGCCCACAAGACATTGTAATTCCTAGTAATACCTAAGATTTTTTTGCCACCTCCTCCCCCACCACCAAGGGCCATTTTATCCCTTGGGGGAAGTGGATGACATTGCTCCTATGAGAATGCATAACTTAGTTGGATGGTAAAGAGCAGGAAAGACATGGCCATACAGTTCAAGGTTTCTTTGAGGGCCAGGGTCAGGGAAAAAGAAGAGGAATTCAAGCGGGAAGTCTGTAACCTTGGGCTACAGAGAGCTTGATTTAG